CTAGCCTTGAGCTGAAGAGCTGAGGGACAGCACCCAGGCCCAGAGTTCAGGCCCCACGACCGGACAAAAAAAAAAAAAAAAAAAAACATACAAACTGTGATCCTCAGATCTCAGCCTCCTGAGTAGCTAGGATTACAGGTGTGAGCCACCAAATACTGGCTTCCCAGAATCTTTAGGTTGCTGCATTCTAACAAAGTTTCTTGGCAGTAGTTTTCTCTAAAGTGTGCTTTCTGAATCAAGATGTTTATTAGTCTATACATGATTATGTGTGATTAGAAAAGGAAGGGGAGAGAATGTGTATAGTGTGTGAGAGACAAAGAGAGGTAGCTGGGCGCTGGTGGCTCATGCCTGTAAGCGACTAAGGAGGCTGAGATCTGATCGCAGTCCAAAGCCAGCCTGGGCAGGAAAGTCTGTGAGACTCTTACCTCCAGTTAACCACCAGAAAACCGGAAGTGGCGCTGTGGCTCAAGTGAGTAGAGCACTAGCCTTGAGCTGAAAACTGAGCGACAGTGTCCAAGCCCAGAGTTCAAGCCCCAAGAATGACTCCCCCTCCAAAAAAAATTTTAAAAAAATGAGAGAGAAGTGAGAGGTGGATGTTTGGATAATGGGGGGCGGGGATGGAGAATTTAATAGGTTACCTATATAGAGATTATGTTAACCACAGGACCTGGCTTCTCAGGCACTCTCAGAAGCCCTTAGGTCTGCCATAACTCAGTCGTTTAGGAAACATTGCTTCAGGTTCTCTCCCTAGTCTAAAGTGAGTTGCTCTACATGGACCCAAGAAAATGAGCTCCACGTGTAGCTCTAGAAAACAGATTTCTGACACTGTCAGAGATTTTAATCTGCACATTAGCTTTTAACTACAAATAACTTCTTTATCAATAATGTATACAGCCTTCAATAATGTTTATAGCCTTCTATTAGAGAGGCATTGGTCTGAGCACAGTAGCCACAGAGTCTACATTTAAATTAAATATCAGACACTGATGCACTGTAGTTATAATATTGTAAATGTGTGTCCTATATAATTTTGTAGAATGGAAGCTTCTTGCCTAGAGCTGGCCTTGGAAGGGGAGCGTCTGTGTAAATCAGGAGACTGCCGTGCCGGTGTGTCCTTTTTTGAAGCTGCAGTTCAAGTTGGAACTGAAGACCTTAAAACACTTAGCGCTATTTACAGCCAGCTAGGCAATGCTTATTTCTATTTGCATGATTATGCCAAAGCATTAGAATACCACCACCATGATTTAACCCTTGCAAGGTAATTGAAGCTTTTTAATATTCTTTTTCCTTAAACTAACTGTTACTTAAATCCATTTAATTATATAAAAAATAACCCAATACACTTAATGAGTTCTAATTTAGTACTGCTTTGAAAAACTAATCTTCCTGCTAAACACAGAGTTTAATTGAAAAGTAGTGAAATGCCCTAGAGTTTAATTAAATGCATGAACATTAATTTAACGACAGAATATTAAGTTTCAAAGTTTTATTTAAAGTTTGAAGGCAGATGAGTCTTTGTATTTTAAGTATGTCCTCTAACCATATTCTGGCTGCTTTATATTTTAATGCCATTTATAGTGTTAACGTCATTTGTTTCTCTCCCACCCCCACCCCAGGACTATTGGAGACCAGTTGGGGGAAGCCAAAGCTAGTGGGAATCTGGGAAACACCTTAAAAGTTCTTGGGAATTTTGATGAAGCTATAGTTTGCTGTCAGCGACATCTAGATATTTCCAGAGGGCTTAATGACAAGGTAATAAAGAAGGCTCAGTGCCAAATGATTTTGTTGCCGTTGCCTTTTAATACTGTATATTATTTAGTTTAAAGAAGAATATGTTCATAGACTAATAGAAAATAAGAAGAGAAAATTTAGTTAAGATAGAGAAAAATCAAAGACCTTCTTTCATCAGTAATCATTTGTTTGGTTCTGTATGGCCACTGACGAAATTTCTTCCTGATAATGTGAAGAATATTATAAATACACATGCAAAGCAGTATAAATACTTGGCTTTTCTGATTTCAAAATGTAAACTTGGTGATTTTTATCTAGGTAGGAGAAGCAAGAGCACTTTACAATCTTGGAAATGTGTATCATGCCAAAGGGAAAAGTTTTGGCTACCCTGGTCCCCAAGATGTAGGAGAATTTCCAGAAGAAGTGAGAAATGCTCTTCAGGCAGCAGTGGATTTTTATGAGTGAGTAGAGCCAAGGCAGCCCCGCCGGCCCACCTACACCATGGCTGCATTCTGTATTCTTTACCCAGTACTAAGTTTTTAAGTTTCGCAAAGGTTTTAAAAAATGACGAATTAACAAGGACTTGAGGGTATGGTTCAAGTGGTTGAGCACTAGCCTTGCAAGTACAAGGCCCCGAGTTTCTATATGGACTAATAAAGTCAAATCAGTTGCTTACATTGTATTGATAGTTAATCTGCGGCTTTCATTTAAGCTGCAGGCCACTGCCCCTTAGTGGCATAAACAGGAATATCAGGGCATAGGCAAATTCTTCCATGTAAATTTAGTCTTTTGCTAATAGAGTTTCATAAAGCTCAGTCACAGGGGGTTTAGGATTAACTGTCTTTGACTCTGAGAGAGACCTACATTAATATCTCTAGATGTACCTTTAAAACATTGCACATTATGGCCATAAACTTTATTTTTTTGATTAAAAGAATTAGATTAAGCCAGGTGCTGGTGGCTCATGCCTGTAATCCTAGCTACTCAGGAGGCTGAGATCTGAGGATCACAGTTCAAAGCCAGCCCGGGCAGGAGAGACCGTGAGACTCCTATCTCCAATAAACCACCAGAAAACCGGAAGTGGCACTGTAGCTCAAGTGGTAGAGCGCTCGCCTTGAGCTGAAGAGCTGAGGGACAGCGCCCAGGCCCAGAGTTCAAGCCCCACGACCCACAAAAAAAAAAGAATTAGATTAGGGCTAGGGGCTGGGAAGGTGGCTCAGTGGTAGAGCACTTGCCTTGCAAGCCTGAGGCCCTGAGTTCCATTCCTCAGCACCACATAAGCAAAAAGAAAAAAGCCGGAGTGGCACTGTGGCTCAACTGGTAGAGCGCTAGCCTTGAGCTGAAGAGCTGAGGGACAGCGCCCAGGCCCAGAGTTCAGGCCCCACGACTGGACCCCCCCCAAAAAAAAAAGAATTAGATTAGGGCTAAAGATGTGACCCAGTGGTAGAATACTTGCCTAGCATGAGCAAGGTACTATGTGGGTTTAATACATAGCGCAAGGAAAAAAGAAATAGATCTCAACTAAATAAGAACACTTTCTAAACGTCTCCATTAATTTACTGCTTTTTGTTACCACTTAGAGAGAACCTATCATTAGTAACAGCTTTGGGTGACCGAGCAGCGCAGGGGCGAGCCTTTGGAAATCTTGGCAACACACATTACCTCCTTGGCAACTTCAGGGATGCAGTCATAGCTCATGAGCAGGTATACAGAGCCCGTGGAGCCAGAACAGTTTTTTCTTCAAAGTTTCCTTTATTTGTATGATTGCTGTATCTAAAAATTTTCTGTTTCAGCGTCTGCTTATTGCAAAAGAATTTGGAGATAAGGCTGCTGAAAGAAGAGCATACAGCAACCTTGGAAATGCATATATATTTCTTGGTGAATTTGAAACTGCTTCTGAATACTACAAGTTAGTCCGTTATGTCTATAGATAAATGTGAAATAAGTAACTATGCACTCCTATTGCAGGTTGGGGTTTAAAACTTACGTTTTGTTAGTTTGTGTAGTTGGTTGTCTGGGCAGGACCCTGATTTTCTAAGAAGTTCATTATCTGTAACAGAAGATTTAAATACCTTAATTTGCAGATATATATTGTGATCAAATGAAAGAATGAGTTAAGAACTAAGTGGATGGTAGCTATTTGACTGAAGAAACATGAGCACAAAGTAATGAAGCTTTTCCTCCCACAAGGCAGCTAGAACTGAGATTTGCATATATTCTAAAAATTTTAGGAATATTTGGAACTCACCTTTGTAATTATTTTTAGGCCCACACAAGATGACTAATGACTAACATAATAGATCCATATTCTTCAGGATACAGAGCAGCAGCTTAGCAAACCTACATTAGTAACTGAATTTTGTTCCATTTATAAAACAACTATACAATCAGAGCAGCAGAGTATCAGGAAGAATTGTGTCTCAGGATCGTAAAGGCAGTTCCAGAGGTCTCAGAAATGCTTGTGAGGACAAATAGCATTAGAATAAGAGAGAGGATAGCTTTGAAGGTATCATTAAATATGTAGTTTTGTGTGATAAGATCTATCACATTAACATAACAACTTTTCTCAGTGATAAGTAATATGAAGTAATTATATTGTTTGGCAGAAATTATGGAAAAGGGTCAGTTAAGTTATTGGCTCCAAAGACATTTATAAGTTATAACTAAAACTAAAACTGATCACTATATGAGAATTAATTTTCTTTTTCTAGAAAGACACTACTATTGGCTCGACAGCTTAAAGACAGAGCTGTGGAAGCACAGTCTTGTTACAGCCTTGGAAACACATATACCTTACTCCAGGACTATGAGAAGGCCATTGATTATCATCTGAAGCACTTAGCAATTGCTCAAGAGCTAAAAGATAGGTAAGTTCTACATTCTTTTACTATATAGTAAAGGTAAAATATAGATGCAGTAGTGAATCTCTAAAATTTTTCCTTTATTTTTCTTCCATTTTAAGGACTTTTCTGCTTAATATTGTCTGCATATTGGTAGAGGATGAGTTTGAACCCAGATCAGTGACTAGGTCACAAACTCAGCTGCCTCCTCAAAGGTCTCCTGCCTAATCCAGGGTAGGAATTGTGGTGATTTTTAGACTGTACCCGTCAAGGGTGGCTGCTCCCTAGCTCCAGCTAATTGTGGCCAGCGATATGCAGATCTTTTTGTTTTGTTTTCTTTAAGAAAAGCTAGAAGGGGCTGGGAAGTTGGCTCAGCGGTAGAGCGCTTGCCTTGCGTGCCCGAGGCCCTGGGTTCGATTCCTCAGCACCACATAAGCAAAAAGAAAAAAGCCAAAAGTGGTGCTGTGGCTCAAGTGGTAGAGCACTAGCCTTGAGCTGAAGAGCTGAGGGATAGTGCTCAGGCCCAGAGTTCAGGCCCCACGACCCGACCAAAAAAAAAAAGAAAAGAAAAGCTAGAAGTCTTAGGTATGAAATTTGATTTTGAAGTGTTAACAAAATCAGTTCTGATTTTGGTTTTCTATATATAAAAAACCCAACATCCGTGCTGGCCTTTGGTCTCTGACTTTTGCTTTAGAGAACAAGAGAATTGTTCAGGTCTTTAGAAAGAACTTTTTAGTCTGTACTTGTTCAGAAAGAAGTATGCCTCCTCAAAGTAGTGGCGTTCTTTCCCTGGGTTTAAACACATACCAAGTGGTTACTTGATGAAGCTGCTAGGAGAAAGATAATGTGGTAGTTGAAATAGACCTATCCCTAAGATTTTACTGTTTTTATAATGTGTTGCATATTAAAAAGAATACATTTGATCTGAATTCAGTATTCTCATATCTCTTTCTACTAGTAATAAGCACTTTATCTGAAAGATAAATCCAAAATATAGTTTATACATTTAATGACTGCTACATTGTTTTTATGCTACACACAGACCTCTTTTCAGATAACTGCATGTTAGCTTTGAACTATGTTTTAGAATTGGTGAAGGAAGAGCATGTTGGAGCTTAGGAAATGCATACACAGCTCTAGGAAATCATGACCAAGCGATGCACTTTGCTGAAAAGCACTTGGAAATTTCCAGAGAGGTAAGAAACAGAAAATTTCACTATCTGTGCTATTGTAATTTACCATAGTGGCTAGGGGAGAGGAATACTGTAATTTCTCCAGATTGTTCAATATAACTGAATAGTAAGTTTGATTATATATTATTCTCTTGGCACCCATGAGATGCTTAGTAATACAGAGCCAAGCGTACGCTTGTGTTGCCTTGATGGCACGGGAGAATGGAAAGACCTTACTAAAGTATGCCTCCGCCAGCCTCTGTATAGAGAGGTAGCCTGGCTTTTACAGAACTAAGACTGCTTTCTCTTACACTTCAGCCACTTGCTGGCTGGATATTTGAACTTGAAAACCTTTCCCTTTTTCCTTTTTTCCCTTTTGGAGTATTGGGGATTGTGTTCATGGCTTCCAGCATGCTAGGCAAGCACTCCCCCACTTGAGCCACATCTCCAGCCCTTGGAAACATTTTTTGAGCCTCATTTCTCATGTAAAATGAGAGTAATCTGTGCCTTGAAAATTTTTAGCGTAATTAGAGGTTTTATGTTCCTAACATATAATGTCCAGTCTTGTTAGTTTAGTAAATGTTAACTTTTATAGTGTAGGAATAAAAATTTTAGGGAGATTTTGTTCATATGCACAAAACTCATCACACGAATATGTCAGGATAACTACATTGCTTATTTTATATCCCAGAGAATAAAAGCAGGCTAATATTTAGAGAACCAAAAAATTGATTGAATATAACTATCTAGGCTATTGTAATATTTTAGAAACTACTATTTTTTTCTGCTTTTAAAAAGCTTTTGTAATAGTGGGTGGCTTCAACTTTCACCCAGGCAAAAAAACCCAGAAAAACTGTAAAGTTAAATTACAATGTACAAAACAAAACAACAGCAACAACAAAAAACAGGGCTGGGAAGGTGGCTTAGTGTGGCTTAGTGGTAGAGTGCTTGCCTAGCATGTATGGAGCCCTGGGTTTAATTCCTCAGTACCACATAAACACAAAAAGCCAGAAGTAGTGCTGTGGTTCAAGTGGTAGAGCACTAGCCTTGAACACAAAGAGGTCCAGGGACAGCACCTAGTCCCTGAATTCAAGCCCCAAGACTGGTAAAAAACAAAAATACCCAGACTTGTATTTTATGGTGCTTGAGATTGAACTCAGGGCCTCATGCTTGCTAGTTAAGTACAACTCCCATACAAGAAAATAAATAAATAAAAAATAAAAACAAGCTTTGTTAAGGAAATAACCCATCTCATACATTCATAGTTTTATAACTTTAATATACTTATTTTCATTTCTCTATTTTCTTCCAGTTTGGGGATGACAGCATTTTCACTTAATCTTTACCCTTAAATACAATCTAAATATAAATACTTGTGGTTGTAGGTTGGTGATAAGAGTGGTGAGCTAACTGCTCGGCTGAATCTCTCGGATCTTCAGATGGTTCTTGGCCTGAGCTACAGTACAAATAATTCTATAATATCTGAAAATATTGAGGTTGATAACAGCTTACATGGTAAGTAACTGGTCTTTTACATTTCTTCTCAATTTCTTTAATCTCGAGATTTACATTGAAATTATCATGCTTTTTTCCCATAGTCAGAGATTATCAAGCAGAATGTATAATATAGATCACAATGAAGGTAGTTTATGGAAAAATCCATAAGATGGGCAAATGTATTGATAGGATGTAGAGTAATGGGAAACACGTGTGTGGTGTGGGCAAGACAGAACTGGTATCCTCTGAAGAACCAGCGTCTGGCAGCATTCTGGCAAAGTTAAATACATGCCATCTGTATAACCTGCACTGCCCCAGTGGTATACACCTGGTATCAAAATTAGGAGAAAATCCTTACTCATGTACACCAAAAGGAATTTCCAGGAATTACTGTGACATTCTTTGCTATAGCAAAAATAAAAATTAGAAGCAGTCTGAATATGTCACAGGTAAAATGGATAACTTAAACAGTGACACAAATGAATTAAGCTACAAGGGTCCAGTTGGATGAATCTCACACACACAGTTCCTCAGAGAAAGCAAGTTGCAGAATACAATTTGACATCACCTATTTTAGAGCATTGCAAATAATGCTGTTTTGCTTATATAGTAAAGTACAGGGATCAGGGCTGAAATTATAACTCAGTAGAAACTCTGTAGTGTGTACCAGGCCAAGGTTCCATTGTCAGCATTGAAAAATAGAAGTGCAGGGAATAAGAGTGAATTTATAAGAGCAATTACAAAAGGGAGATCTGTATTGTTTTATTTTTAAGTTAAATGTTAAATATCAGGTATTCTGTGTGTGTGTGTGTGTGCGCGCGCGCACGCCAGTCCTGTCCCTGACCTTCTTTTGTTCAAGGCAAGCACTCTACCGCTGAATTGTCTCACAGACTTTCCTGCCCAGGCTGGCTTTTCTCCCACGATCCTCAGATCTTAGCCTTCTGACTAGCTAGAATAATAGATGTGAGCCACTGGTGGTACCCTTTTCTACACTGTGTCTTTTAAAATACCACTTAGTTTTTAAGATTGAATAGTTTTAGGAATTCTTTGTAATTAATGTATAATAACTTTATTTTGAATGTGTTTGAAAAAGCTTTTTTATTCAACGTTTTTCTTAAATAGCAATAAACCCATCATCTATAATAATATCTGAAAATGGAAAAGTATAACTTAGAAAGGAGTAATGGTATAGTACTAGGAATTTTATTTTTGTTCTTTTCATAAAATTGAAGGCTTTAAGCTTTTTTTCCCTTAACCACTCTAATTTGAGGGGGGGGAGTCTACATAGTATAAAACCAGTTCTTATAACTGCCATTTCTAAATTAAGGGGTAATGTTAGTAACCCGTGGTTAGTTTCCAATCCAAATGTAACTTCCTTACATCAAAGTATGTTAGAGGGAATGTGTATTTTTATGTAGTTGGTGTGGAAAATAGTTAGTCTCCAAAAAAATAGTTTTTTGGAACACATTTCCTTCTTTTATAAGGGGCTGTGAATCAGACTTTAGAATGGAGTAACATAGAGATGCTGGATGTGCTCTTAAGAGGCTCCCTGGTTTATCTGAATTGATTTTTTTTTTTTTTTACAAAGGTGCTCGCCCCAAGCTGGGACGGCGACACAGCATGGAAAATATGGAACTTATGAAATTAACCCCAGAAAAGGTGGGCTTTTTGTTTTAAATTTCATGAACTATTACAAGATTTTAGTAACTGTTGATTCAAATGAAGTATTTAAGCCTATTCCTACTTGGTTACCACTATAACATTTGCCTTTAAGAAGAATCAGGAAAAGTATAGTGTGAAAGAGTGCGCACAGCATGCTGCTGAGGAAAAGGTCTATGTGCATAGAGGCCTACGTGGGTTTCCTTTGTAGATTCATAAGCCATTTCAGAAAACTACTCAACAAACTTGCTTTTGCAAAGAGGGGTGGATGTCTGGATTATGCTATACTTTATTTACTAGATTGAACTGTTTGAATAGTTCACCATACTGCTTTAAAAAAAAATCAAAAGATCACATAGAAGAATCAAAAAAGATAGGAGGAATCCAATGACATTGGTAATTTTGACAAGATAAATGAAGCTTATGATGTAGGAGAGAGTAGTTCCGTTTTTTTGTTTTGTTTTGTTTTTTTGTCGGTCATGGGGTTTGAACTCTGGGCCTGAGCTCTTTAGCACAAGGCAGGCGCTCTACCACTTGTGCCACAGCACCACTTCCTCTAACTGTATTTTTAAGAAGCATTTTTAAGCTGACAAAAGTACTTTTTACTCAAAATGCATCCTTCCCAGACTGCTTTTTTTTTTTGGGGGGGGGGGAAGTAGGTAACAAAAGGGACTTATTCGAGAGCAAATCAAAGCTACTTTCTTCTATTTCCATTTAAGTTCATTTTACATTATTGTTTTACATATATTTATTTTTGTGGGTACCAGAGTTTGAACTGAGGGCTTGAAGCTTATTTGTTTAATAAGCTGACATTCTACCACTTTAGCCATCCTCCAGCCCTACTGGTTATTTTGGAAACGGAGTTAACTTTTTTGCCTAAACTGGCCTTGAACCTCTATCTCCAGATCTCAGTCTCCTGAGCTGGGATTATAGCCAGGCTGGCACCTGGCTTAGCTGCACTTTTTTTTTTGGAGGGGTCCGGTCATGGGGCCTGAACTCTGGGCCTGGGCGCTGTCCCTCAGCTCTTCAGCTCAAGGCTAGCACTGTACCACTTAAGCCACAATGCCACTTCCGGCTCTTTTTCGTTTTTGCTTATGTGGTGCTGAGGAATCAAACCCAGGGCCTCATGCATGCAAGGCAAGTGCTCTACCACTGAGCCACCTTCCCAGCCCTTAGCTGCACTTTTATGTTCTCAAATCAAGGGTCATTTTCATTTTCTACAACCAATAGACTATAATTCACTCTAACAAATAATTTCAACTCTTGACCTATATATGAAAACAAAAAGGAAAGAAGTAGAAGTTTGGCTCATTTTCTAAGTGTGCATCTGCATGTGTGCTCCGGCACAGCTCAGACAGGACTTCCCTGGTTTGATAGACATGTTCTACAACTTGATCGGCACAGGATCATATGGCTTCCATAAAAAATGTCTTGCCAAAATGTTCAGTGATTAACATAACACAAAGACCTTCAGACTCCAATCACTTAAGACTGTTGAACCTGTAAATGTTGCAGAACTATTACATTTTTCCTCTGAACTCAATAGATTGTCATGTATATAAAGCCAAGCCTACTGTTGGTTGATATTTGAATTTTGTTGTCATTGAGAACAAGGCCTTGCTGTTTGTTGCCCAGAGTGGCCTTGAATTCACAGCTACCCCAAACCCCCAAAAGCCAGGGTTACAGGTTTGTGCCACAATGCCTGGCTTAAGTCAGATATGGACCTGTACATGGACCTGCCTATTGAGAACTTACTATTTAGTGAAAACAGCATAGGTTCTTTTGTCTTTATTTCTGTTTTTATGTAATGAGAATTGAGTGCAGGGCCTCATGCATTGTAAGCAATCACTTTACTACTGAGGTTTACTAGTAAATGAGTGAATATATATATATATATATATATATATATATTTTTTTTTTTTTGGTCCCGTCCCATCGTGGGGCCTGAACTCTGGGCCTGGGCGCTGTCCCTCAGCTCTTCAGCTCAAGGCTAGCGCTCTACCACTTGAGCCACAGCGCCACTTCCGGCTTTTTTCTTTTTGCTTATGTGGTACTGAGGAATCGAACCCAGGGCCTCAGGCATGCAAGGCAAGTGCTCTACCACTGAGCCAACTTCCCAGCCCTTCTGAGGTCTTTAAAAACCACCATTTGGGGGTGGGGGTAACACTGGAAACTAGAAAGTATTACAACTTTAATCTAACAGGAAAATACACATAAAGATTTATATGAAAGCAAAAAAATAAATTCAAAATAGGTGGCTTAGGGACAAGCTAGAAATCTAGTATTAAAACATGGTTGACAAAAAAATTAAAAGCCATCATTTTAATATATCAATGAGAAATCCACACTATAGGTTTTAAGATATAAGCTCTTGAAAATAGTGAAATACGCTGAAAAAAACGTATTAAGAGATCTAGAATTCTGTTCACATCCCAATAGGCAATGCGTAAATATGTCAGGTTAATATTTTAGGAAGCCAGAAAGATTTGGGTTATTTTTAATTTTGTAGGTACAGAACTGGAACAGCGAGATTCTTGCTAAACAAAAACCTCTTATTGCCAAACCTTCTGCAAAGCTACTCTTTGTCAACAGACTGAAGGGGAAAAAGTACAAAACCAGTTCATCCACTAAAGTTCTCCAAGATTCCAGTAATTCTGTTGACCATCGAATTCTGAATTCTCAAAGGGTATGTTTATGTTTTTCAGTATTGAAAAGTTTTTAGACCAAATGTTTTATCATTTTAATTAGACACCTAGTTATATCTCTGCTATTCAAAATTGTCCGTATTTCTCTATATTTTCTTGCCAGTCCTGGGGCAAACTCAGGGCCTGGGTACTGTGCCTGAGCCTCTTTGTGCTGTAGGCTAGCATTTTGTCACTTGAGTCACAGTGCCACTTCCAGCTTTTTCTGAATAGTTTATTGGAGATAAGAGTCTCACAGACTTTCCTGCTCTGGCTAGCTTTGAATTATGATCCTCAGATCTTAGCTTCCTGAGTAGCTAGGATTACAGGGCCTGGCATCCCTATATTTTCTATCTTCTTCACAGCTCTGTTCATTGATAAGTTGTCTTGTTGTTTTGGACAACAAATTGTGTTTAACGTCACCATTGTTTGCAAAAGATACTACCATTTACCACAGTGTTTCCTAGTAAAGCTGATTTACCTTAGAAGACAAAACAAATATTTGCTAATGGATTTTTTTCTTTTTTGGTGGTGTTTTTAGGTCTTATTTACCCACTACCCTTCAGTTCACTGTCCCCTGAATACTATAAATACTTGGAATTGCCCATTGGACAGGATAAAACATCTCTCACCTGCAAATGCATACTTACTCCTGAGAAAACAACTCAAATACATGCTGTGAAATTTTCTGAGTAGTTACTCTCCTTACTTCCACAACATTTTATATACATTTGCCTCTAATACTTGATAAATGTTTAAAAAGCTACTTAAACTGCATACATTGTTTCAGTTTCATAGCTTTCCAAGATAAGCCTTCTTTCACTCATTTGAAGCATCTATCTTTTTCCCAGTATCTTCAAACCTTTAATAAAAAAGGACCACAGAGGAGCTCCCTAGAACTAACATGATTCTCTGGGTTTTTGATCCCAAGCAACACACATTCTGTTAAAAATCAGGAAAATATACTTGCTTAACTTTACTTGTTTACTTAAATTCTGTTATGGTAGAACCTTAGAACTAAATCGAATCTGAGTACAGTGTACATGGCTAATGCAGCCACTGGCTGTATGGTGACCTGTATATGTGATGGCTTGTGTATGACATCCACAGAGCTTTGGTATGTAGTAGGCTGCATCACTCAGGTTTGGATAAGTCTGATGTTCACATGGTAAGATCCATTGGTGCATTTGTGCATCTCTCAGAATAGCCCCATCATTAAATTATGCATGACTCTTATTTGCACAGTTCAGCATCTGTAGTTCTCCTGAGACTGAGTCCCATTTGTTTAGCCTTTAGAAATAAAAGAATGCTTATAAACTGACAGGTTGAATTGAAACCACTTTGTACTACTACTGAAAGATTTAAAAAGGAAAAAAAAAAAAAAGGCTGGGTGCCAGTGACTCACATCTGTAATCAATCCTAGCTTCTCAGGAGGCCAAGATGTGAGGATTATGGTTCAAAGCCAGCACAGGCAGAAAAGTCTGTGAGACTGTTATTTCCAATTAACCATAGACCAGAAGTGGAGAATGCATTTTGTTGGCTAGGTTGAAATAACATTACCAACTTGTCATTTGTATTCTTTTTGAAAATCAAACATCAGTTTAAACTTTCTCCTTTCTCTCTTGAGTGCATTGTATGTTACTGACTTGAAGATAATGATAGAATAAGTGTACTGGGTTTTCTCTCAATATTTTAGAAAATCAGTGCAGACACTATTGGGGATGAAGGATTCTTTGACCTGTTAAGCAGATTTCAGAGCAATCGGATGGATGATCAGAGGTGCTACTTACAGGAAAATAACTGCCATCCAGTTTCAACCACAGCTTCTTCCACAACCCCCAAAATGCTGAAAAGTAAGTCACTAGTGCTTCTCCCTTAATAGTTCTCTTTAATATATGCGTGCGTGCGTGTGTGTGTGTACGTATGTGTACTGGCCCCTGTTTCTGAGCTTTTCATTTAAGACTTTCTACCACTTTAGCCATAGTTTGACTTCTGGCTTTTAGCTGGTTAATTGGAGATAAGTCTTTCCTGCCCTAGCTCACTTTGAAGCATGATCCTCAGATCTTAGTATACTGAATGGCTAGGTTTACAAGTGTGAGCAACCAGTAGTACCCAGCTTGTTTCTGAGAATTTAATTTTATACAGTAATTATCCCTGAATGTACAGTTCAAAGTCTGTTTCAGATCCCTTAAAATCTTGGGTTTTTTTCCTTTTGTGTCTTCCAATAATTCTTTCATACTATCTTTCTTTTGAGTGTGGCAAGAAAATGAAAGCTGGGTATGAGGACAATGATGGGAAGCCTAGCACTTGAGGCTGAAGTAGGAGGCTCACAAGTTAGAGCCCTTGTGTGAGAGTTAATGGTATGTGATATGTAAATATATCTAGAATAAAAAGGAAAGCCTAGACAGAATGTAGAGAAACCTGTGGCTAAAGCTAAGTCCTGCTTAATTTTTAGGAAAACTTAAGTAACCTATTTTATACTTTCCAATTTTAAGTACTAACAAATGGCTTCTACTCTACTCTAAGCCTTAAGATTAGCTAAATGTTTCCAAAATAACATTCCACTTGCTGTAGTCTCACTGACCTGTTATTAAAACAGTTCACTTCTGAAATGTAGTACCGTACTTAGTTTCATGTTGGGTTTGTATAAGATAAAGGATAAAATGGAAAAGTCTGAATAACTTCCAAGTGGACCATTTGAAGTTCTGTGGAGTTCACTCTTCTCTCCCTGCTAATAAAAACCACAGGCATCTAGTAAAAGCCTTTCAACCAGTGTTCCACCAGGAGGGCGGGACAGGTGTTGTTTGGTATATATATCAGGTAAGTGTAACCATGTTTGTAACATTTTGGATTTTATATTCCTATTCACAGTGCCATCTGTTTCTGTGGTGTCTCCCAACACGGATGACTTTTTGGATCTTCTCGCCAGCTCACAGAGCCGCCGTCTAGACGATCAGAGGGCCAGTTTCAGTAACTTGCCAGGGCTTCGTCTGACAAAAAACAACAATCAGTCAGTGCTGGACCACCTGGTTACTAATGACAACAAAGAGCCTGATGAAGACTTTTTTGACATCCTTATAAAGTGTCAAGTATGTTTTTATTCTTTCCATTCTGTATATAAATCGAGAACTTTAGTAGCATTTTTTTTGTTTTGGGTTTGTTTTTTTTTTTGCTTTTTTTCCCCTTGTGTTCGTTGATATTGGGGCTTGAACTCTTGAACCTCTTGCTTGGCTCAGGCTGGAGCTCTACCACTTGATCACACCTCTACTCCCAGCTTTTTGTTGGGTAGATGAGTCTTAGATGTTTCTACCTACACTGGCTTAAATCTCAATCCTCAGATCTCACCCTCTTGAGTAACTAAGATTATAGGTATGAGGCACCGGCCTATAATTCTTATTTACAAAGAACTCAGGGAGACATTACTTGCCTGTTACCCAAAGAATCTTTGAACACCAGTTAGGTTCCAGATGCTGTCATAAGTATCGAGGATGTCCTTGCTTTTTAAAGGGTGCTACAGGGGCTGGGAAGGGGGCTCAGTGGTAGAGCACTTGCCTTGCATGCATGAGGCCCTGGGTTCGATTCCCCAGCACCACATAAGAAAAAAAGAAAAAAGCCAGAAGTGGCGCGGTGGCTCAAGTGGTAGAGCTCTAGCCTTGAGCTGAAGAGCTAAGGGACAGCGTCCAGGCCCAGAGTTCAGGCCCCACGACCAGACCCAAAAAAAAAAAAAGGATGCTACATTTTAGTGGAAGAAAAGTGACTAAGTGGGTATTTTCAAACATGTATTAAGCAGAAAGACAGGTGCAATTTTATTGGCTATAAAGAAAGGTAAGAAGAAGCCGGAGTTGTAGTGCTTGCAGAAGGAAAATCTGTTTAGGATGGTTAGAGATGACCTTTCTGGACTGCCATCTGAATAGACTTGAAGTTTTCAGCCATGGCAGTACAGTGGGAAAGAGCATTCTATGCAGAAATGGCAAGTCCCCCCCCCTCTTGGATATGGCTTAGCAGCCTTGAGAAATGTCAAGGTGGCCAATGTGACTGAAATGGAATGAATAAGGGAGAAGGAAATAGTATGAAAGGAGGATGGAGAAGTCATTAGGGTCTAGAACATATAGATACAATGAAGCCCTGAGTTCAGATTGTGGACGGGAGATAACTGGAGAGTTCTGCAAGATCATCCTGGATATTGATGAAGAATGTAGAGCAGTGAGGGTTCAGAAATGAGTTGTGAAGCTAGTGTGGTACAAGCAAAAGGGACTAAGGTGGTGGTAGCGTGATAAGTAGATTGGGGTATATTTTGGAGTTACAGTTCTTTTTGACAAGATCTGTCCAACTGGATGGAAGATTGAGGGATAGACTCAAAGATGGATTCTTTTCTGGTTTGGGTTTAAATGATTTGAGTATGAGTGGTGATGGAGAGAATACTAAAAAAGGCAAGGTTTGGGTTTTGTTGTTGTTAATCATGTTAAATTTGAGACATTCATAAGATAGTGAAATGGAGACACTGTGTAGACAAATTTTTTTTAAGAAAAAATCCCCAGCCAGTGGCAAGGTTGGTTCAGTGGTAGAGCGCTTGCCTTGCATGCATGAGGCCCTGGGTTCGATTCCTCATCACCACATATGCAGAAAAAGCTGGAAGTGGTGCTGTGGCTCAAGTGGTAGAGCGCTAGCCTTGAGCAGAAGAGCTGAGGGACAGTACCCAAGCCCAGAGTTTGGGCCCCATGACTGAAAAGAAAAAAAACAAACAGAAGTAAAATTGGTAGGCATCAGCTCTGGCTGGTAATTGAAGTCCTGTTAAGAAATTTTACGTGATGGAAAAAAAAAGAAAAATTACCTGGTGAAGAGATAAGAGGCCTAACACTAAGCCAAAACCTAGTAGTTAAGCAGAGGAAGATGAGTCGGCAAAGCAATGTATGGAAAGGTTGACGCTAAGCGAGGAAGAGTATTAAAGAATGTTCAAAAGGTAAGATGATGAAACTGCAGGATCTGGCAACATGGAAATTAGTAATTTTGAAAGATACTATTTGATTGCACTTGGGGATCAAATGATTGCTCTCCTCTCTTTCTCTACTCCCTTCATCTGTGCCCAGTTAGGATTTTCTTACTTCAGAAAAGCAGCAAGATGCCAGTGGCTCACACCTGTAATCCTTGTTACTTAGAAAGCTGAGATCTGTGGATCACAGTTTGAAGCCAACATGAGCAGACAAATCTGATAGGACTGTTAGTGGAGATGTAGTTCAAGTAGCGGAACACAAGCCTTTGGCAAAAAAAGCCAAGCAATACCACACAGCCCTGACTTCAAGCCCCAGGACCAGCAATAGAAAAAAAAAAAAAAAGAAATGGATCATTAAGCTGAAGAAATGACCAAGGGGAAAGATGGGGTTTTCTTCCCTTTGGGTGAAAATATAGTGTGTATGTATACAGGACAAGGAAGGAGCAGAGTCAGCGCCACAGCTAGAGAGTTAGTTTGGTAGGTAAAAGGGAAAATAATTGTGTACCGATTTGAGCCAGAAGCACGTAGCTTCTCAGCCAAAGTAAAAAAGAGTAGTAGGGTCATTGGCACTGGAGCATTGTAAAGCTTGAAGAGAAAGAAAATAGAAAACAATTGACTGAAAAAGTGAAACTAAATTGCCAAGGGAAAAAATGGAAGATTACTGTGCTGAGGACCTGCCTTAAGTTAATAGTTATTGGAAGTGAGACTGATCAGTGCAGTTGCATATATTTTGTACTCAAAACCAGCTGCTTAAAGAAGCATAGGAATATATTTAACCAAGATTGGTAACATGGGCAGGGCAAAATGGCTTGTGCCTGAATACCCAGCTACTTGAACCTAAGAGAATCACACTTTGATACTAACTCATAGAAAAGTCAGAAAACAAGCTAGGTCTGGTGGCACATACCTGTAATCCCAGCTATGTTGAAGACAGGAGGATTATGTTCCAAGGCCTGTCCCAAGCAGGAACATGAGAACCTGTCTTAGAAATAACTAGAGCAAAAAAGGCTTATTTATGGCTCAGGTAGGATAGTGTTTGCCTATCCTCTGCAAGGCCCTCAGTTTAAATCCAGGGCTGACATGCCCCACAAAATAAATTAGGTATCTTGCCAAGAGAATGAGAAACCAGTAATTGAAGACAAAATGGCATTGAGCTCTCAATAATAGACTTTAAAATCTACACTGCAAGTAATGAATGAAATGAGTGCAAGTAAAAAAGCATCACTGGTCCCAGTGGACACACACACTGAAGAGCCAGGCACAGGTGGTTTGTGGCAGCAATACTAGTTTCTTACGGGTGGTTCGTGGCAGCAATACTAGTTTCTTGGGAGGCTGAGATCATGGTGAGACCTCTTCTCAACTCATATCTGTGCACAGCAGTGCATATCTGACATCATTCCATCCTATATGGGAGGCTGAGATGGGAAGGCTCTGGGTGCTGGGGCAGCCTGACCAGAAAAACCTATAAGACTCCATCCCCAAGAAGGTGGTTCTGGGCTGTGAGCCAGCAACAACAGGAAACCTGCAGTGGGTACAGCAAAGCTATCCTGAAAACAAGCAGTAAAAAATAGGCTAGAAGCCAGGCACCAGTCACTCAATGTCTATAATACTGACTGCTCAGAAGGCTGAGATATTAGGATCACAGTTCAAAGCCAGCCTGGAAAGTCTGAGATTCTCCAGTTACCACCTCCCAAAAAAGAAAAAAAAGCCAAAAGTGGAGCTGTTAGCCTTGAGCTGAAAACTCAGGGACAGTGCCCAGTCACTGAGCTCAAGCTCCAAGACACACACATACCACCACCACCACCACCACTCCCCAGGGCTAGAGATATGGCTTAGCAGTGTTGTACCAGTCTATGAGATGTGAGGCCCTGAGTTTAAACCCCAGTACTGAAAATATTAGTGAACATAACTAGCTTTAGCCTCCCAAGTACTGGGATTATGGACAGGAGTGCACCACTACGGCTTTTTTTTTTTTTTTTTTGGTCAGTCATAGGGCCTGAACTCTGGGCCTGGGCGCTGTCCCTCAGCTCTTCAGCTCAAGGCAAGTGCTCTACCACTTAAGCCACAGCACCACTTCCAGCTTTTTCTGCTTATGTGGTGCTGAGGAATCGAACCCAGGGCCTTAAGTATGCAAAACAAGCACTCTACCACTGAGCCATCTTCCCAGCCCTGTCCACAGCTCTTAAAACACAATGCTAGAAGGGTTTTGTATACAGCATATTTGGTAAATTATATTGTTGATACATATAGTAACATTTCTTATAACCAACTATAATTGCATTGATTAATATACCCATGAAACGTCTATATTTGTACACGATAGCTTATTTAATTCTATATGCCATGTTAATCTCTCTCAAATTTTTAGGGCTCCAGATTAGACGATCAAAGATGTGCACCACCACCTGCTGCCACGAAGGGTCCAACGGTACCAGATGAAGACTTTTTTAGTCTCATTTTACGCTCTCAGGCAAAAAGAATGGATGAACAAAGAGTTCTTCTACAGAGAGATCAAAATGGGGACACTGAATTTGGGCTAAAGGGCCTTTTTCAAAGTAATGCTTTGTTGGAATTTAAAAATGCAGGGAAATAAACAGCATGCTAGATGCTGTGTATATTTTTAAAGAGAAGACCTTTTTCCTTTCAGAACACTGCAGGGAAATTCAACCTACTTTTTCCTAGAGGAGAATATATAGCACTGTAATAGAGCTTACCATGTATTTAGAATGTAAATACCTAGCTTTCAGTGATGTAGTATGAGGCGCCTACAGCCTCTGCACAGCGTCTCAGGGTGGAGGTGTCCTGAAAGGTGCTATGTCGACTTCCAACACTACTGCTTAAGACTGCTCTTCAACACACTGTCAGCTTCTTCACCAGTGTTGGCAAAATGGGAATTTAACCCTAGCCTAGAATTTAACCCTCTTGCTGAGGTAGTTTTTGTAAATTCCTATTGAAATGGCATTTTAAAAACTTAACCATGAATATTATTACAGTTGGAACTTACAATGTAGTAAAAATAATGTACTTGTCCAATGTAAAAAAAAGTTCTAGATGTTTTTCTCAAAGAAAATCTATTTTCAATATATTTTTAGGCCAAAGCCAGTATAAAATAAACTGTTAAGAAATAAATTTCTTTTAGCATATTTTTGGCCATTAGTGTCTTCTGTTACATAATTGCCAGAAACACAAACCACGTAATATGAAAACTCACAAAAATAAAGCATGGGAGGCTCCACTGCAGGTTGGAGCTTAGCTGTCACTACAGCTCATCCTCATCCCATATACTGAAAGCACTTACAAGGGTTCCTAAGAGGAGATCACAAAATGGGCAGGAGACAAGTGACTGAGTTGGGGGAATTGATGGAGGAGGTAAGTTTAATCTAAATGGCAGACTACCAATGCCCACATAAGGCACACACTGCTAACTCTACAGAGTACTAACTTCTCTAGAATGTTAAGAAACAATATTTAGAATTATATTTAGAGCTGAAAAAAAATTTCTTGGCTTTAAGATCACAGAGAAATGTTGTCAAAAGCAGCAGGTTAAACTCTGATTGTCTGTTTCAAAAGTACATAAAATATAGTGCCCCTAGAGACCACCATCTTTGTGATGCTATGTTGTAAGGGACTTATAAGAAAACACATTATCAAGGACTAGAGGTGCAGCTTAGGTGATCTAGCAGTTGCCTTGCAAGTTAAGGCTCTAGGTTCAGTTAAATTCCCAGTACATTAAAAAACAATACAATCATCCAAAACAACAACAAAAAAAACCCAGTTGGGCACCAGTGGCTCATGCCCATAATCCTAGCTAGCTACTCAGGAGGCTGAGATCTAAGGATCATAGTTTAAAGCCTGCCCAAGCAGAAGGGTCCCTGTGAGACTCATCTCTAATTAACCACTGAAAAACTGGAAGTGGCACTGTGGCTCAAAGTGATAGAGTGCTAGCCTTGAGCAAAAAGAGTTCGGGGACAGCACCCAGGCTCTGAGTTCAAGCCCCAGGACCAGCAAAACAACAACAAACGCATTAGGCAAATGCAGTATATACCAAATGATAGCTATGTAAGAATAAACAAACAGTATATACCATATAGCTATGTAAAAAATAAGTGTTTATTTTTGTGTACAGTGGTTCTTACACCCTGTAAACATTTAACATAAACATTTCTTTTGACAGCTGTCTACCCCATTCTGATTTTCTTAGAAATAGATGTTACATAAACATTAAATGTGAGTGACCAACACTGGCTAAACTTAACTCTCTCTTCAGGCAATGAACTGGCCTTGATATGTTTATTCAATTTACTTAAAGTCTTCCCTGAATTGCTGTAATTCATTCAATAACAGTAACATGTTGCTTTGCTAGCTTGTCAAAGCAGATTCCCAAATGGTATCTGTAATAAAAGAATACAAAGATGAAATTTAAAATATTTTTACACATCATTACCACTGTAGTATACAGTCAATAACTTGGCACTCATTTCTTTTTCTGAGTCAGATCATGACTCACAACAGAATTCCCACGTTGGGAGCAAACTAATCTATCAATGGTGAATAGGACCAGTCTGCAGGGACAACTACTTTATATGCATAATGTTCACAAATCTGTGCTAAGCTGTGTTCATCCTTTAATTTGTTACATGCCTGCTATGTTACAAATGACATATTCTTTTCTGATATCAAAGGTAAAGGTTATATGCAAATTAACATAATTTACATTTCTAAAAAGACTTGGAAAATAATGAATATAAAATCCTTAATCTATGGTTAAGAAAAATGTTGTTTTCCTTTATATAAAAAATTAGAACTTCAGAAAGCCAAGACATAAGCTGTAAGCCATCATAGTATCTAACAGTGTCCACTGCTAGAATTCTAAGCAACATGAAAAACAGGTCTTAAAAAGTCTATGACTCGGGGCTGGGAAGGTGGCTCAGTGGTAGAGCGCTTGCCTTGCATGCCTGAGGCCCTGGGTTCGATTCCTCAGTACCACATAAGCAAAAAGAAAAAAGCCGGAAGTGGCGCTGTGGCTCAAGTGGTAGAGTGCTAGCCTTGAGCTGAAGAGCTGAGGGACAGCGCCCAGGCCCAGAGTTCAGGCCCCACGACTGGACCCCAAAAAAAAAGTCTATGACTCATGTATTGGGGAAAAAATAAAGTCATACTCAAAAGTTAACTGCTGGAAAACTTAAGGTTATATAAACTTTTCTAGTAATTGAGTTCTAAGGCATAAAGTAAAAGGTATAAGGAAGCAGGCCCCGTAACAGCTATACAAAGTCACAGTGTATGTGACCCACCCACATACCAACTGACAAACAGCTGCCAGCTGCACTGATGTTGGTAACGGGTACTTTGCATCTGCGCACAGAGATGTAGTGCATACAAAGATGAAGTTAAGTGAGCTTCTTTAAAAATAATTCTTGATTATCTATTACATTGGAAAAACTTTGAATTTAATGTAGAACAAATTATTCTAATTAACGTTGGGCTTACAGAGTTTCCGTAAGCAATACCCACTACAGTTAGTTGGTTCCTATCAATGCCTATAACAGTAAAATTTCTTCATTTAACTCCTAATTCCATCACTTTATCTAAAATTATACTGGCCATAACATTCATTTTGAAATGTAAATTCTGCCAGGTGGCTCATGCCTGTAATCCTAGCTACTCAGGAGGCTAAGATCTGAGGATCATGGTTCAAAGCCAGCCAGGGCAGGTAAGTCCAATTAAGCACTAGAAAACTGGAAGTGGCACTTGTGGCTCAAGTGGTAGAGTGCGCTCCTTGAGTGAAGAGCTGAGGGACAGTGCCCAGGCCCAGAGTTCAAGACCCACAACTGACAAAAAAAATAAATTCTATTAAGCTCCTACTCCAAGACTGACACTTCAAAATTTGATGGAACGTATCTTAATACTACCGAGAATAAAAGTAAACAGTCGTGTGTGTGTGTGTGTGTGTGTGTGTGTGTTACTTCTGATTGTCAGTGAAATTATTAGTGATTATTTGGCACCTTTGAAGTATACGAAATATTATTGGGATGCATGAAGCGTATACTTTACAGCCAGCCCGGGCAGGAAAGTCTGGGAGACTCCTATCTCCAATTAACTACCAGAAAACCAGAAGTAGCACTGTGGCTCAAGTGGTAGAGTGCTGAAGAGCTTAGGCACAGTGCCCAGACCCAGAGTTCAAGCCCCACAACCAACAACAACAACAAAAAAGTATACTTTACAAAATGCAACGATGATTTCAGAGGTGGGCCTGTGTCTGTGTTCCTCTAGCCACATGGGTTGCCAATGGGATCCTTCCCACTTAGGGTTCCTGCTGGGCTGTGCAGGCTGCCTTCAGTTTCAGTCTTCAGCTGGGTCTGGATCTTTTCAGTCTTCAGTTGGGTCTGGGTCTTTTCAGTCTTCAGCAGGGTCTGGGTCTCTTCAGTCTTCAGCTGGGTCTGGGTCTTTTCTTCTGCAGATGAGTCTTCCATAGGCCCCAATGCCTCCTGGCCAGGGACAATCTTAGCAGACTGGCTGTGTTCCAACAGGGTGCTTTCTCTTGGGAGTCCACTAATCTCTTTGGATTTTGTATCCAAAATTGGTGATTTATGCTATAAAGTACAGAAGTATATTTTTACTATGAACATAAATCTGAAGGTTTAGCAATGAAACATAACCAACCAATTCTTACCATGCTTACATCCCAGCTCCCATGCCAGATTACAAAGGTTAAACCTCACCCAACTGTACATGGAAGAATGAGGATACATGGGTGACCAAGCTTAGGATGCTGTGTGTACAGGTTAGCAGTACTGTTGCTAACCCTTCTTGTCTGATGGGACTAATTTTGCAATGTATACTTACTGAACATGTATCAAGTTTTAAGTACTGAAGATACAACAGGAACAAAACACAAAATCTGCTCTCACTAGAACTTATACTTCATTTGGGGAGAGAATCAGACAATACACTAGAGTATGATAGATTATTTAATTAAGAGCTATGCAGAAAAAGCAGAAAGCTAAGTTCTGGTGTGGGGTAGGGTAGTGGGGTCAGACAGCAGTCTAAATTAAAGCTACTATCATGAGAAGTCACAAGTAAAGGCCTGAGGAAGTATGAACCATTTATATAGATCAAGAGCCTTCCAGACAGTACACAAGTACCAAGGATCGGAGTTCAAGGAAGTCTCCTGGCTGAGGTGGAGGGAGCATGGAGAGGGAGCGATGATGGGTGAGATGGGGGATCTGGGGCAGGGCAGGCCAAAGACCACTAGGGCAGCAAGGTCTTTTACTCCTAAAGCTGAGTCAGGAAGTCACTAGAAGGTTTTTGAGGTGATTGGCAGGCAATAATTATGAAAGAAAGGAACATACTCAGATTTTCTGGATACATGGATGTATTTTTACATATCTGTTTTTTTTTTTTTGGGGGGGGGGT